GGGGGCACAAAGATTAAACAAATGACATGCCACTTGCTTTCAGGGGACTTAGGTTCTGCTGGGAGAGGGCGGCAGAAAATAGGCCATGGGCTCACATAAGTGTAATAAGAGATAAGGGAGTGTTTGGACAAAGGATGAACCCAGAGCCAGTCCTCAGGGAAAATTGTAGGACTCAGTTGAAGTATAGCCCCTTCTTCCACCTTCATGACACTGAAGAAGTCTGAATGGGAGCTGGGATGGGTTGGAGGGAAAAATCTGCAGGGGAGTGTGGCAGGCAGTGTTGCTGTTTGCTGGAGAGAAACTAGTGTGTAAAACACTTAGGTGTTAGGAATTAGGAGACAGGGATGGGGTTAGGAAAAGGTCTTCTGTGTTCCTGGGTCCTGGCGAACTTTAAAAGGGGTGAGGAAATGCCGAGGACTTGACTTCGGGGATGATAGGGGTGGTAGGAGCTTCCAGTCTTAAGCCATATTGTCTACAGGGATAAGTCAAAGAAGAAGAAGAAAGGAAAGGTGAAGGTGGAGAAAAAATCCACCCCTTCCAAAGGCTCGTCCAAGTCTTCATCCAAACAGCTGAGTGAGAGCTTCAAGAGCAGAGAATTTGTGTCAAGTGATGAGAGTTCTTCAGGCGAGAACAAGAGCAAAAAGAAGAGGAGGAGGAGTGAGGTAGGACAGACAAGGGGCTTGTGGGGTCTGGGTGGATGGTGGAGGCCTAGCGTGGAGCTTTCCCCATCGATGAAGTCTTCGGTCAGCCTTGATCTAAGTGGTAGGTTGTGAAAAGAGGCAAAAACCCACCCCTCTCCTGAAAGCTGACGTTGAGTGGGGAGAGCCAGCAGAGAAATAAGTAACTAGATGTACGAGGTATCTACAGAGCAGATGGAAGGTGATCTGAGGAGGGAAGGCAGGAGGAGCTTTGGAAAGGAGAGGTTTCCCTGCAGAGGGTGGGGTTTGAGCTAAAGAAAGGGAGGGGAATGAAGAGGTGCAGGGATCAGAATTCTAGGCCTGGGTGCCAGCCTGGGCCCAGAGGCAGCCAGGGCAGTGTCCTGTTTGTGGAGCTGATGGTAGGCCAACTTTGCTGGAGCGTAGACTACGTGGAGGGGAGAAAAGTCAGAAGATTGGAAATGTATGAAAGGGCCAGGTTATGAAGGACTTTAATTGCAAAACAGAAGAATTTTTATGTGGAGCTCACTGAGCTGGGAACACAGTCAGAAAAGTCACTTTGGCAGCTGTGTGAGGATGGACTGGAGTGGGGAGAGGCTTGAGGCAGGAAGTGTTGATATGAGGCTAGGGCTTTGAGCCTCAGTGACGGAGGATGGTCGTGCCCTTGACTGTAGCAGGGAAGTTCAGAAGCTTTGGATAAGAGGATAGTTTCATGGGGGTGGGGGTGGGGGGTGGGAAATGGAGCATCTTCCAACCTGTTTGAGATATCCAGCAGGCCCTTGGTGATGGGATTAACTCAGGAAAGAGATGAGTGTTGGATATATAGAGATTTGAGAATCTTCTGCCTAGAGCAGCAATCAGTCAGTCATTAAATATTTATTATGTGCTTACTACTATGTGCCAGGCAGTGTGCTAAGAATAAAAATATGGAAAGGAAAAAAAAGGCATTTCCCAGCTTCAAGGAGCTTATTATTTAATGGGGAAAGACAGCATGTTAAAGGTTGAAATGTGTGTGGGGCAGCAGCATGATGGGAAAGTCTGAGAAACCCTAGGGTAGTGCAGCCAGGTTGAGAAATGTCGTATTCTGAACTGAACTCTCTCCTTAAGTGGAAATTTTGGAGTTGATGGCCCCACCCTCCAGTCAGTGGGGCAGAGGGTAATTGAGGAGCGAAGCATGCCAACTGATGGGATCTTGCAGGATGAGGAAGTGCACGATGAAGTGGAATACTTCTGGGTTCCAGGATTTGACCTCCATGTGAGGCTAAGGTGGAGTAGAGGAAGTCTTGGGAATGAGAGGATTGAGGACTACAGTATTTGACGGAACATCAGTATGTCTGTTCAAGTCCCCTCGTGTGAGGGCAAGAGATGGAGGAGAGAGAAAGATTGAGGCAGTGGGATTGGGAAGGGGAGCTGTAAGAGTTCTCCATCGGGAGGGCTGACTTTGTGTGTGGCATTTTGAAGAAGTGGTGCTTTGGGCGACTGAGTTTGTAAACCTTGCCTCCATGGTCCCCTCTGTGTCCCTCCAGGATTCTGAAGAAGAGGAGGAACTGGCCAGCACACCTCCCAGCTCGGAAGAATCAGGATCCGGCTCAGATGAGGAGTAGAGAAAGCAGCACTTTCTTCTCTGCTGTCACTCTCCAACCCCCCCCCCCCAGTCTACAGTTTCCATCCATACCCTGCTACCAGCAGCCCCCAAACTGAGAAATAATCCCTGGACTCAGTTTAAAGTGCAGCCCTCCTTGATCTGTGGACTTGAGTGACTGGGCAGGGAGGGTTTATTTTCTGTGCTGCTTGACAGGGATGACACAGTTGAATTTGGGAAGAAAGTGAAGGTTGGAGCACAGGTTATGTGGGACCTAAAAGCTTCACCCCGGCTCTCCTCTCCACGGTACTGCCAGCTGATCCCTTCTCCGTCCCTTGGCAATTCTTGGGATGCTGCAGCAGGGGCCACACACAGGGTCAGCCTTGTAGCCCCTTGCTGGGGCCTATTTCTATTTTTATTTTGTATTTCTGGTCAGTGGAAGTCACAAAAAAAAAGATTTAATAAAGCAAAGTGACTTTAACAGCCGTGTTCAAATGGACCTCCTCAACCCTGTTGGTTCCTTTGCCTAGGATACTGCTATTTTCAGCTTAAGCAGCAAGCTCACTCCCTTCATCCCTGTTGGTTGGATGGGTATGCCATGGCCGGGAATCCAGTCTTGGGTACATTCCCTTTCATTCCCGTCTGAGTGATTGTTTTCATCCCTTGCTCCCAGGATGAACCACCTGAGATTGGGGGAAGTGGCCACTGATTTGATTAGGAAAGATTCCCCAGCCATCCTGCTCCATTATCTAGGCTGTATTTGAGCTCTTGGCTCCATACATAATCACCTGTGAGCCGCAGTGGTCTCTAGGCGTGAGATAATTAAATCAGGATTGAGTGGCCTCCTGTAACGTGGGCTGAGGAAACCTGAGCTTGAAGAGGTAGGTGCACCAAGTGGTACAGAACCATTATCAGGCAAGGAGTGTGTAGCATCTGATATGCAGGAGGGTTCGTGGGTCTGCATATCATGCCCTCGTGTATCGAATCGGCAACACCGCATAGTTAAGAGATTGGAGCCAGCAACACCTGCCTCTAGCACATACTGGTTGTGTGACCCTGGGTAAGTCATAAAACTACAGTGGTGACTGCTGTTGGTAGAGTTTTCTCATTGAGAGTGCCCTTTACCAGTGAAATCTGAACCGGCCCTATGTTGAACCTGGTCATGGAACTTTTCATTGAGTGTAACCACAAGATTTATGTACAGATACTTAAAGATAAATCTGTCATCTAGTTCAAAAACCTTTGTTTCACAAACCCCTTGGGCAGTGTGGTGAATCCGTGGATGGACTTCTTGGAGTAATGTGTTCACATGCCAGGAATTACAAAGGAAATAATGTTTTTTAAAGTTTTATGTATATATATATATACACATATGTATATATATATAATGTACTGTTATGTATTCGTATGTAATACACATACAAGTATATATATGTACTGTTCTATATTCATATGTAATACACATTCAAGCTCATAGAAGCCAGGTTGAGAATCACTGATGTGTCCAAATCCTTTCTTAGAGGGCAAGTCACTTGGGAACATGTGGGATACAGCACGAGGACCGACCTGGTTTGGAGTCAGAGCCCCATCTGAGGCTTGGCCCTTTCCCACTTAACCCTCCAGATCACGCAGCAGATCTGGGTCCTGCTTCCCCATCTGTAAAATGAGGGGGCTTAGGCTAAAGGCAGTGGCTTCCAGGGGCCATCACAACTTTATCCTCTTGGGATTTAGGGAAGGTCTACAGATCGGATGTGGCAGGGCCAGAATGCAGCCCCTGGGCTTCCGATTCCAAATGCTTTTCCCATTCTGTCAACGGTAAGAATGGCTGCTGTTCATAATGGGCCTTAGGGTTTGCAGACGCTTTTCAAACATCCCCCTGGGAGATGGGTGCTAGGATCCTCGTTGGGCTGATGGGACTTGCCCAGGGTCACCGTGTCTGAGGCACATTTGAACTCGGGCCTTCCAGATCCGTTCGTCTGCACTGGACCTCCAGGATCAGCTGCCCAGGAGAACTCCGTTACGGTCCCAAGAGAGTTGAGTGAACTTGCTTGACGGCGTTACTCTCCAGGGTTTGCTTAAAGGGCCTACTGTGTGCCAGGCAAGATGAAACAGGGGGAGCCTGCAGCCCAGAGGGAAGAGGCAGCTTTGGGGTCCTGCCCCTCGGGAATCACGGCACTTGCACTGCCCAAATTACAGGCTTGTGTCTGTTTATTGTCTCCGTGACCCTGGCCGGGGTGGCGGGGGGCCGGGGACTCAGTTTCTGCCTGTGTAAAGCGCAGGCTGCGGCTGCGGCTGCGGCTACGGCTGCGGCTGCGGCGGCCTCGAGGGTGCCTCGCGGAGGGGCTGCCCGCTCCGGGCGCTTCTGGGAGGCCTCGGGCCGCCTCGCGGCTGGAAACCGCTCTGAAGGGGCAGAAGGCTCCTCTCTATTGTGCCGCTCCGAGTTTGGGGCCGCGGGGCCGGACTCCACGTTCTGTCTCAGCCGGGGACGCTCTAGCCTGTCGCCTCGGTGGTCCCCGCCCCGTCTTAAGCCTTTTAGGCGGCCTAGTTGCGTCAGTCGCGGGGTGAAGGCCGAGTGCCCGGGCGCGGCCCTCGTTTACATATTCATGAATAATGGCGGTGAAGGCGGAGCCCACGCGCCCTCCTCCCGCCGAGGTTGGGCTGCCGCGCTCCGCCCGGGGGCGTTTCAGGCTGGCGTTGGCCATCTCATGAATATGCATGAGCGCGGCCTGTGGGCGGGGCCGGGCGGTGCGGGGGCGGGGCCTCACCCGGACTCTCAGTGGGTCTGGCCCGCGGTGACGGCGGCGGCGGCGGTGGCTGAGGCTGGGGCCGAGCCGGGGCTGAGACCGGGGACGCGGGCAGCTCAGCTGAAGGAGGGCCGGAGCCCAGGGGAGCGTGTGAGTGAGCGCGAGCGGGGGCGACCCGGCGGAGGAGGGGGCGGGGCCCGCGCGTGGGGGGGAGCGGGAGGAGGAGGGGGCTGGGGTGTGGGGGGTGCACTCTGCAGGGGTGGGGGGGTTGGCGCGGGTGTTGAGTTTCCCACGGGCAGGAGGGGCCGCGGGGTCGGGATAGCCTCGAGGGCTGCGGGAGCTCGTGCGTGGGTCGGGGCAGGAGCTGGGGTTGTACTTAGCCCCCCCCCCAAAGCTGGAGGGCGCGCGCTCGAAAAGCCGCCGAGGCCGTGGCGCCTCCGACATCCTGAGAAACCCGGGAAGAAAGAGTGGGAGGGCTGGGGGAGGGGGCTCGGGGGCGGGGCGGGGGAGGGGGCTCGGGGGCGGTGGCAGCAGTGGGTGGAGACGGGCCGGGGGGACCCGCGGGAGCGACGTTGGCTGCGCCCTGTCGCCCCGGGGTGGGGCGCTGAGCGGCTCCAGCGTCCTCCCCCCTAGTCAATTTCTCCCTCAGCACGTCCCTCAGTACGTCCTCCGGGCGCCCAGTCCGGCCAGTCCTCGGCCTCTCCGGGGCGGCCATCCCCAGCCCGCTGCCCGCTCCCCTCACTCTGCACCGGCTGCGTCTTCTCCGGCGCACACGTCTGCTTCCCTCTGGCTGGCAGCCCCCGCTCCCCGCCCGGGCCCCTCGGTGGACCTCCCCTAGCCCGAGCGCCTAGGCCTTTTTGTCCAGCTGTCCCTGCAGCCGCGGGAGAAGAGCCTCCCCCATCCCACCGGCCGTCCGGTCCGGGAGCTCTCCAAGCCTGCGCTGTATCCAACTCGACTGCATTTACTGAGCGATGACTAGGTGTGCGGCGCGGTGGGTGATGGGCGCCTGGGATACAAAGACCAAGGCGACCCCGTCGCCTCCTCCCTCCTCCTCCTCCTCCCGGAAAAGACCCACAGAAAGGAAGTCCTTGTCCCCCTGGGGCAGTGGCCTTGTTCCAGACTAGCTCTGAAGGCAGGAGCCAGGCCCCTCTTAGTGTCCCAGGCTTCATAGCCTAGCCCTTCCAGGTGGGTTCCCCCTCCCCTTTTTTTTTTCTTCTCGGAGTGATTATCTTAGCCATTCCTTAGCTTTGACCATAAACTCGATGTCTGGCCACCTTTGGTCATCTAGACCCTTGGTCTCCTAGCGTTGGCTCCTGACCCTGAGCTAGCAGGATGTGCCTCTGTCCCTTCTCCGGGAGAACTCCCTAATCCTTCTCCTCCCACCTTGTTCTCAATTCTCCTCCTGCCTTCTGCTTCTCTTAGTTGCCCTATCCTTCTAGATGAAGCAGATTCCTAGCAGCTCCCCTTATCCTGGTAGCTATTTCCCACATTCCTTTTGGGGTTAAGGTCAAAGACAGTGACAAGACTTACTGTTGGTTTCCTTTTTGTAAGAAATACCCTCTCCCCCTTCTCTCATAACACCCTTCTCTCCCCCACCCCCACCCCTCTGGCACCATTGCATTTTTTCTCCATGTAAGCTGCCTGACTTCATTCAGTTCCTTCCCTTCCTGCTATGTGCAAGGGGTGGGGGGAGAAGGGGGGTGGTGTCAGATTTGCAAAAGTTGGGCCCTCAGAATTCAGCATGATTTTTTCAGAGCCAGCTGGAGTGTGTGTCTTGGAGGGATGGTTAGGCCCCTGCCACCCTGCCCAATGGAGATCAAGTGCAGGGTGTGTGAATTAGAAGATGGGTAGGAACCTGAGATGCTGACCAGAGAGGAAGAGGTGCTAGTAGGTTAGATTCCCTCCCCCTCCCCCCTCCTTCCAATCAGGTCGCTGGGGTCCTGGTTCTGTGGGTTGGAGCTAGGGAAAGTTAGAGAGGAGCATGGAGTGGGAACAGTAGAGGTGAAGTCAGTGCTAGGAGAAATCCAGGAGGTGACAGACCAGAACTGAGGAAGTGTGGGAGTTAATGGAGAGGGTTAGGAATGCCAGGCACCTGAGGGGTGGGAAACACTTAGGAGGGTGAGAAGCAGGTCTGTCTGGTGACCGAGAATAGGAAACAGTTACTGGTCAATACAGTTAAGTACTAAATGCTGAGAGCAGAAAAGTCAATAACAGATAACAGTCCTACTTGGGCTTGGGGGGGTGGGAGGTGGGGGAAGGTTGCCCAACGCTCCAGGTAGGATCTCCGAAGACCTTGGCTTCTTTCCGCAGTGGGGAAATGTGGCTCTCTGCATGTTTTTTTCCCCTGTGGTTCAATTCTCCTCCTCCCCCAATCCCTTCCTATCAGCCTAGAGGCCCATACCCAGCCCCAGCAGACCTGTCACTTCTTTGAAGGATGCGTAAGCAGCCTTCGGGTCTTGGTGGCCAGGAGTCAAGGCTTCCAGAGCCCTTACCCTATTCTCTCTGGGTGCTGGGCCTTCTCTTTCTTTCTCTTGGCGAAGAGCTGGAAATCCAGTGGGAGGCCATTGCTATAGCAACAGGCACAGGCCCTGGCTTTACCTCATCAAATTCCAGCCCGACGCCAAAACGATTGAGAAATTAAAAAAAAAAAAGAGGAAAAAATGTATTCCAGATGTTTACTTTTTATTCCCTGTTTTTCCGTGTTTGGATGGAGGCAGCTCTGACAGGCTCTTGAGGGAGGGCTGGGGAAGCAAAAGAGGGGGGAGCCAGGGGGTGAGAACCACTCCCTGCTGAGGGAGGGAGACAAGGAAGGGGCTGGGGCACTGGGGTGGAGCAGCTGCAGGTTGGCGTGGAGCGGGTTTTTCTCGTCCCCCACGAGGTGAAGTGATTCATGGGAGAGCCCAGCCTCTGAGGCCCGAGTGCCCTGCCCAGCCTGGTACCCTCCGTTGGGAAGTGGGTAACCACAGGGGGATGGATATGGGGCCTCTGTGACCGTGGGAAAGGTAAAGCTGGGGTCCTGGTTTAGGAGGCTGGGCTGTTCCTCAGAGCTTTGGGGGATAAGATGGCTAGGGAGTTGTTCCAGGGGCCGGGCTTGCTGCTGTGTGCCCCACTCTTTTCCCTTTAAGTTTTTTCCCATTTCCCGAGTTCTCCTTGCCTAGCCCTCCACCCTCTTCCCTGTTCCGTTCCTCCCTGCCCAAGTTCAGCTTCCCTTGGCCCCTAATCCTGTCTGTCTCCTCCTCTCCCCCTTTCTCCTCTGCTCTGTCCTCTTCTGCTCCTTCTTCTTTAGGGTCTGCTGCATGTGATGAATTTATCCACTCTCAGGGAAAGCTCCCCCATGGCTTCCCGGCCCCCCCAAGAGATGGAGGAGGAACTGCTGCCAGCTGGCCCGGAGCCAGGTACAGATGGGAGCAGGGTGGAGCTGGGTGCCTTGTGGGGGGAGATGCTGTTCTCCCAGGATGGGAAAGCTGGGGGCCAGAGGGAAGTGGGGAGGGGAGTGACACCGGAAATGGGATAGAACGTTGGAGCTGGAAGGAATTTGAGTGCATCTAGTCATGAAGAAGCCTGTGGAGTTTTCTGTTGGTTATCAGAGAGGCCACTGCCTTAGGACTGTACAGGTGACTCAGGGTAAATCATGTTGTTGGAAAGCAGGGGTGGAGAAATCTGGCTGGGGCTCTATGGACGGCTGCTGGTGGGCTGACCTGCCTGGCTTCTTCGCTCCCTAGACTTAGAAGTCCCCTGCTGTACCGGCTTGTCCGAGATGTGGAGGGTGAGCCAGGCTAGAATGAAGAATGAACCCTATGGGGATAATTGAAGGTCAAGTGTCCCCCTTCCTCAGGGTACTGGAAGCCCCAAGAGGATTTGGGACACATGGGATAAAAGAGGCAGTGTTAGAGCAGAAAGAACACCAGCCTTGGCGTTCAGAAGCCGTCTCAGAGTCCTCCTACTGGTGCTGAATGGCTATGTGACCACTGGCAATTTACTCAGACTCTCTAAGCCCATTTCCTCATCTATAAAAATAGATTAATAGCTAACAGTGCCTATGATGTGCTACTTTGCTAAGCATTTTACAATTATCTTATTTGGTCCTTATAACAACCTATGAGGTAGGTGCTATTATTCCCACTTTACAGATGAAGAAACTGAGGCAGAGGTTATGTGCTTCACCCAAGATCACATTGCTAGTTAAGTGTCTGAGGCCAAATTTGAGCTTAGGCCTGCCTGACTCCGGGCCCAGCACTTTATACACTGTGCCACCTAGCTAACATAGATGATATGCTCTAGTATGTATTTGACAGAATGTCTTGAGGCTCACGTGACAGTCACCAAGCATTTTGTAGATGGCAGACCCTCTGGCACTAATGAAGAAAGGCAAAAACTGTCCCTTGCCCTCAAGAACCTTACATTTGAATGGTAGAGACTTACAAACAACTAGGTGTAACAAGATTTCTGTAGCAGAGGTAGGAGAAGCTGGCAGCAGTGGAGGGCCTGGGTGGGCCCTGGTGCACAAGGTAGGGTTGGAACAGAGCCTTGAAGAAAGTCAGGGCAAACTGAGAGGGGAGCTGAGGATCTTCTTAGCATGTCTGTAGAGTACCGAGCACACCGTAAAGGACTCTGGTTCTGCCAATGAGGGGATTTGGTGAGATAGCCTATGAGGAAGTTCCCTTTCAGCTCTGGAGCTGTGACCCTGTGCCAGTATGATTTTGTCACCTCGTTTGTATTATTTTCATTGACTTGGGAATCAGTGATGTGCTTTGCAACATCTCTCACATCTTTCCCTCTCTGCCTCCTCTTTTTTGTAGGGGACTCGAAGGCCAAACCCCCAGTCAAGCCCAAGCCTGAGTCCCGGACACTGCCTGCCAAGCCAGCTCTGCCAGCCAAACCCAGCCTGCTGGTGCCACTGGGGCCAAGACCCCCAAGAGGTCCCTTGGCTGAGCTACCTTCTGCCAGGAAAATGAACATGCTGGCAGGACCGCAGCCCTACGGTGGCAGCAAGCGCCCCTTGGCTTTCTCTCCTCGGTCAGCCCCTGATGCACCATCTGCTGGAGCCAGCCCTCGGGAGACTAGCAAGGATGAGGGTACCTTGGCTACCCCCCCCACCTCGATGCTCAGTCCCAACTGGGGTTCGGAAGGCTCCCGCTCCTTTCCGCCCATTGTCTGATCGATTCTCTACCAGCACTGTGGAAGAGATCTTGGCCAAAATGGAGCAGCCCCGGAAAGAGGGCCCCTCTAGCCCTGACCGCCTTTGGGGCTCCCGCCTCACCTTTAGCCATGATGGCAGTTCCCACTATGGCCCAAGGGCCTATGGGCCAGTGCAGAGTCCCGGGGATGAGGAGACATTGACCCAAAGCATCCCCAAGGATCTGTCTCAGGAAGAACAGGCAAAGCCTGAGGAGGGACAGGAAGAAGGAGGCCAGAGTTCAGCTGGGCAGTGCCCTGCAGAACCCCAAGAGGCCCAGCCTGAAGTATCTGGCAGGATGCTTGAGGAGAGGTGAGAAGGGAGAGAAGGAGGTGGGCTGGGGGAAAAGTTCTCCAGCCTCTGATGTCTTCCATGGTAGCTTTGTAGGGCACTGTGGCTCCTCTTTCTGCCGCCCTTACTGATATAGGATCTAGAGCTTAAAGGAACCGAAGGGGCATCTAGGCTCTGCTCCGCATTTCAGGGATGAGGAAATGAAGCCAGAGAAGTGAAATGACCAACTCTGGTCACCGAGGTGGGAAGTAAGAGAGGTGAGGTGCAAGGCCAGAAGATCAGAGCTTCAGAGCTTGGGGTGGGGACGCCTTGGAGTTGTCTAGGCCCCACCCCACGTTTTCCAGCAGGGACAAGCAGCAGGTGGTCATTTTCTGTTATGTCTATTTCCCTGTGGTGGGATGGGGCCAGTCTCTAATGTCACTATGCCTGGGGCCTGGTATGTGTGGGCCAGTCAGTGTGAAGCCCCTGTCCCTTACCAATCAAGGCCTCCTCTGAGCTGAGGAGAAAGATTTGGAATCTGAGGACCTGGGTTTGAGTGCTTGCTTCCTTCAGCTGTGCAGCCTGGGCCAAAGGATTTCTCCTCTCTGGGCTCCAGTGTCCTCTGTCAAATGAAGGGGTTGGATTAGAGACCTTTAAAGTCCCTTCCAGCTTTTAATCTGTAATCCTGTGATGAGGAGGCTCCTTGTCCCCTAGCAGGTTGCAGGCCTTTAGGAGACATAAGCCAGGGACATGCACAGGTATAAGAGGTACATAAGTCAGATATCTCACGAGTTGCAAGAATGATACATGGAAGAACCCACATTTACATAACAAAATCAAGGGATTGGTGATTTATTTTACTGATGGTTTCACCATATGGTTTCTTTAAATAGCAGATTCCTGCTCCCCACCCCAACCCCCCAGCCCCACACCAGTGTGTCTAACTCATGATTCTGTTTACAAAAAATGGACTTGCTCACTTCTTTTTAGGAATGCAGCAGCTGTGTGCAGTGCCACAGACCTGTAGCCTCCCAGCCCTGCCTGCCTGTTGGGATGGGAATTTGCAGTGCATTGTGGGTGGGCCTTCTTGGTGGGCGGATGGACGGAGCCCTAGGGGATCATAGCTGAGCTTCACAGAGATGTTAGCTGTGGCTCAGGCCCCTCCTCCAGGGAGCCAGCCTGTGGCAAAACTGCGCGTTTGGAGCCTACTCTGGGCCCTGCCCCTGAGAAGCAGGGAGCGTGGCAGGGTGGGGCTGAGCCAGACCAAGAAGGTGGAGACACCTGCTCAGCCAGCCTGGCATTTCTCTCACCTGGCTGAGGGAAAGGAATGGGGGTGGTGGTGATGGCAGAAAGGTTAACCCTTCCCTCTCTGCTATCAAAGGCTTCTAAAACATTTGGACAGTCATCCTTTCTTGCTGGGTAGAGGGCCCAGGAATGTTACATCCCTGGAAATTTCCGTCTTGATAACATGTTTACATAGCACTTGAAAGTCACAAAGCACCTTTCTCTTAACCGCTCTGCGAGGTGACGTGTTTGAGTATTAATTCCCATTTTATAGAAGAGGGCAGGGACTGAGGCCCAGTGGGCTTGCCCCATGTTAGAAGGTGAGCGTGCAGCTGGGTAGCACCATAGTGTACAAAGCACCCGGCCTGCAGTCAGGAAGACCTGAGTTCAGATGTTGCCTTAGACATTTACAAAGCTGTGTGACCTCGGGCAAGTCACTTCACCCTGTTTGCCTGAGTTTCCTCATCTATCAAATGAACTAGAGAAGGAAATGGCAAACCACTCCAGTGTCTTGGCCATGAAAACCCCAAATGGGGTCATGGAGAGTCAGATGCTACTGAAATGACTGAACAAATTCGAGAATCAGCTTTTCTTCCTCTCGGTCTGCAGTACTTAAAAACCAAAAGCCTTAAGACAGATCAGAAATGAGCGTCTTCCCCTTCAGGGTGGACAAGTTTAACTCCATGTGGGATAGAAGACAAGAAGTGTGTGAATGGGGGGGGGCAAGGGAGAGAAAACCCAGTCTCTGTCCTCAGGGGATTTCACCTTGAATGTTCGGGCTAGAAAATGGGAACCAGTCTCAGAGAGGGGCGTGCTTCATGGAAGCACGGGCAGAATTGTACCAGATGATGCTATGGGTGGGGAACCCCTCGTGGACTCGGCTTCCTCTCACCCTAGGGAAATTTTTGTTTTCCCTGCTCTGTGACCTCCAACAATCAGTGTCTCTCCTTGTTCTCTCCCTACCCCCCCCCAGGCTTGTCTCTGACCTGACGTCCAACGGAGACCTGGCATCCAGTGGAGACCTGGCAAGCACAGTGTTACCCCATGAAGTAAGTTATCCCTTGTCCTAGAATAAAATCATACAACATCAGCCCTGCAAGGGATCCTAGTGGAGACAGTGTCAGACCTTAAGGTATATAGAGTATCAAGGCCAGAACAAACAACATCTGAGCTTATCCAGTTCAACCCACCCATTTTACAGAAGAGAAAACCAAGGCCCAGAGACTGGAAGGACTTTTCTCTAGATCCTGAGAGCCTAAAGGTGGTCAGTTAAAGAGCAGGGATGAGAAATCAGGTGTTCTCACTACTAACTAGCCTGAGGGCTGTTCCTGGACACTAGGAGGACAGGAGTGGAGTCCAGTTCTATAGTTCAGAGGGAGGGCGGGGCTTAATGTCATCTGCTCCCACTCCCAAAGTTGATCCTCCCCCTCTCTAACCAGCCCCTTCCCTAGAGGGCGTCCTGGGCCTCTGAGCAGACTCTTACTTACAGCCCAGAGCCTGTTGGGGAGCCGCAGGCAGGGCTGAGGAGGGTGGTTGACCACCCCCCCTCCATTCTCCTCTGAAGCCCTCATAGCTGCTGGGCTGGTGTCTGTCTGGCTTCTACGGTGAGGGAACCTTTGACTCATAGCCCTGCCTGTGGTAAATGGGCCTGGGTGGGGCTGCTTAGGATGGGGTCCAGGCTTTGCCAGTCTCTGACAGGAGTCAGCTCTGAGGGAGAAGGGCCAGCACAGGCATGAGTCCTTCTGCCCCTTCCCTGTCTCCTCTGCTTTACTCCTTGCACTAAGTCATCCAGGGGCTCTCAGATGTCATTGCTTGACTTTCTTGCTTCCTTTCAGGTAGAGGTGGCAGCTGCTCACAGCTGGAATACACCGAGTTTCTAGGGTATCATAGGGTCATCTGCAAGGCACTCTGGTCCACCCCTCTCCTTTACAGATGAGGAAAATTGAGGCCCAGGGAAGTTAAATGACTTGTCCAGGGTCACGTGGGTAGTATGTGGCCAAGCCAGAATTTGGACCAGACTCTAAAGTTAACCCTTTCCATAGCCCCATGCAATTCTCTCCCCCAAAGATGACAAAACACAAGCATGCCCTTTGGGAATGGGACCGAGTCCAGCTGGAGCTTGTCCCAAGCTTTGGAGTGGACCTTCCCTTCTCTCTCTGGAAGGAACTTGCCCAAAGGCCTCCTTGACACTTCAGGTGAGGCAGAGGACTTTAGGTGGCCAGATCTGCAGCTTCCTTTCCTCCTTCCCCACCAGCCTCTTCTCCTAATATCCTGGATAGATTCCCTCCATCCCTGTTTGCCATCTTGACCAGGGGAGGGTAGTGGCTTAGAATGGAAAAAGGTTACTGGAGGCCCCTCTGCCTGCTCCATGTGCCCTCATTCATTGTACCTAGATGGGTAATGACAGCTCTTTCTCTTACAGGTTTCCAAGTCTTCAGCCCATGCACACCATGTTCCTTCTCCGGTCCCGCCTCGTCCCATGCCTCACGATCTCTCCCCTAGCCCTGTGAGGGCTCCAGGATCCCAGAGCTCAGACCCGTCTGCTGAGGGACTCACATCCCACAGCCCAGCCCTTCCCATAGAGAAGTCACCTGAACCTCTGAAATCATTCAGCCCATCCTTACCGTTAAGGGAAGAGCCTGGGTCCCCCAGCTCAGGCCTCTCCCTTGAGAAGAATTCCACCACCCCAGAGGGCCCAGGGTCTCCCAATCCAGAACATTCCCAGGTTACCTCTCCCCAGATTGCACTTTCAGGGGTCCAGTTTTTGGAGCACTCTAGAACATTTCCCCTGGAGAAAAAGGAGGAGGAAGGTGGAGAGTTAAGCCTCCGGCTCCCCCACCTAGAACAACGTCGCTTCTCAGAAGGTGTGCTTCGGCCCCCCAACCAAGATCAAAGGAAACTAGGGGGGTCTCTGGCTGCCTTGCCTCAGGGCCAGGGAGGAGGAGGTGGCTTGGAGCAGCCCTTTGGGAGTGGGACAGAATCCAACTGGAGCTTGTCACAGTCCTTTGAGTGGACCTTCCCTACTCGGCCTTCAGGCCTGGGGGTGTGGCGGCTAGAGTCCCCGCCACCCTCACCCATCACTGAAGCTGATGACTCGGGTCTCTCTGAGGGAGAGGGCGAAGAGGCTGATGAGATTCGGAGCTCCAGACCAATCAGGGCTGCCTCTCAGGCTCAAAGAGGGAGCATGCACTGCGGGGTCCCCCAGAACCAACAGGGAGATGACAGAAGTCCAGCTTCCTCCAATCCCCCATCAGATCTTCAGCCCAAAGGCCAGGATTCACCAAGACTGTCACTGCTCCAAGCAGAAGAGGTAGCAGGAACTGAGGAATCCCTAGCTGGACTGGAGACTCCCCTCCCTCCCACTCCAGAGGAGGAAGCAGCCTTGCCCATCCTGGAGCCTGTTCCGGAGCAGGAGCCCCCCCTTCCCCTAGCTCAGCCCTGCATCTTGTTTGCTGATGCCCCTGTCCCTGAGCAGGCTACACCCTCCCAGGAAGATGCCCCAGACCTGGCAAAAGCAGAGACCAACCTGAGCAGGCCTGAGGGAGGGGACCTTCCAAGAATGTCACCTGAGCTGAGGGCCCCTGAAAATGATGCTGGCTGGCTAGACAAGCTCCTGGCCTCCCCACCGCCCAGTGCCAATGGTGCCCGGAAAGCAACTGCGCCAGAGCAGTGTGAGACTCAGATGCCCAGTGCCAGCCCTGAGGTGAGGGCTGATAGGGGCCCAGGATGGACTGGGGCAGAAAGGGGACTGGTATTTGGGCTTAGGTGTTGGACCAGGTGTGGAGGCTTGCTAAGATTCTAATTGTGTGACAGTATCGGGTTGCAGAAGGGAGAATCAGAATGTTAGAACAAGAGAACTTAGGGCACAGAATGCCAGAACTGAGAAGGACTTTAGAATGTGCAAGGTCAGAATTGGGAAGGCCCCTGGAACATAGGGTGTGAGAGCTGGGAGGGCCCTTAGAACATAGGGTGTGAGAGCTGGGAGGGCCCTTAGAACATAGGAAGTGAGAGCTGGGAGAGCCTTTAGAACATAGGGTGTGAGAGCTGGGAGGGCCCTTAGAACACAGGGTGTGAGAGCTGGGAGGGCCCTTAGAACACAGGGTGTGAGAGCTGGGAGGGCCCTTAGAACATAGGGTGTGAGCGCTGGGAGGGCCCTTAGAACATAGGGTGTGAGTGCTGGGAGGGCCCTTAGAACATAGGGTGTGAGAGCTGGGAGAGCCTTTAGAACATAGGAAGTGAGAACTGGGAGGGCCTTTAGCATGTAGAATGTCAGAGCTGGGAGAATTCTTAGAACTGGGAATGTCAGAGCTAGAAGGGACCTTAGAATATGGAACATCAAAGTTAGAGGGGACTTGGAGATGTTTAAGTCCAAACCTCTCATTTTATGAAGTAGAAAAGTGAGGCCCAGAGAGGGGATGTGATTTGCCCTAAGTCACTCTGCTGGGGAATGGCAGAGTCAGAAAGAGAAACCAGGTCTCCTGAGCAATATTCCAGTTCTCCTTCTACCCCTGCTGCCCTTTAGTCGAGTTTCTGCCCAATTGCCAAGCCAGGCGTGGGGCCGGGGAGAGGTGGTGTGTAGGTCCTGGGCATCCAGCCATCGTGTTCCTTAGCTGCGGTGGGCGGGCAGGCAGGCAGCCGAGGAGGAAGAGGAAGAGGAGGAGAAGGGGTTAAGAGCTAGCCAGTAGGTGTGTCTGTCCCGGGATCTGTGTGACTCAACTTGTTTCTGGGAGGGGTTGGCTGCAGCTGCGCAGCCTGAGCCAGAGCCTCTCAGGGAGCAGTTAGAAGTAGTCAGACAAGTCTGGGAGAAGGGAGCACTGACTCCCCCTCCTTCCTAGGGCCACCCTGCCATTGTCAGGCCTCACTCAGCACCCCAGAGTGGGCGGGGGTCATGGCCCAAAGCGGGGAAGAAAGCGGCACGTCGATCCTGGAGCGTCTGCTGGCCAATGCGGCCCTGTGGGAGGAGGCTGGGCGGGCTCGATTTGCAGACCTGAAGCTGGTGTCTCGGGCCAGCAAACCTGGGGGGGTAAGTGTGGCCTGGGAAGACGAAGACATACTCCAGGGTGCAGCATCTTACCTCATCCATGTGCTAGGTTCTACCAGGGACTGATAGGGTAAGGGTCTGTGGGGGACTTGCTGAGGAGATGGCCTTGGTGGAGTGGGGAGAGTCTCCTTGAGAGAATCAAATGGGGGCTCCTTTTTGGGGCCTGGGCTATAAGGACATTCAATAAAGGTGGGAATAGTACTTTCAGAATGAAGGCTGTATAGGGCGTGGACTTCTTGGCTTGGTGATATGCTTCTTTCCCTCCCGTGCCCCCCACCCCCCCCCCCAACCTGGACAGCACTCTCCAGCTTTGTTTTTCCCGCTGGTGTTCAGCCGCCTCTCCTCCAAGGGGTCTGAGTAAGACCGCTTTACCTTGAACCCCTGTGTGTGTCTTGGATCTTACCTGTAAGCATCATTTTAATTGTATCTTTTCTGCTTTTGCAGGGGCTCCTGGGATGGGCTAAAAAAGACCTGAAAAGTGAATTTGGAATCGGTATAGACTCACACCATAGCACCTTCAGCCCCTCTCCCACCTGGGCCAGAGAAGGCACTAGGGGCTATAGCATTGGGAGTTCAGCTTCCAGTGAGAGAGATTGGGTCATTGGTGATGGCTGCGGAGGGGCAGTACAGAGTCACCAGGAATGGAGCAACACCTACGGCATTGGCCAGCCAGGGGTGGAGGAGGAGTTTGATACCCGCAGTGGAGACCAGAGCAAGGAGCGTGTCCTAGGAGGGGATGTTATTGCCCAGGAATTTGGGAAGGCAGACCAGCTTGGGACTTACACTAGCCAGGCTGCTGAGTTACAAGACCGGGAATTTGGGAAGAGAGATTCACTCGGGACTTACACTAGCCAGGCTGCTGAGTTACAAGACCGGGAATTTGGGAAGAGAGATTCACTCGGGACTTACACTAGCCAGGCTGCTGAGTTACAAGACCGGGAATTTGGGAAGAGAGATTCACTCGGGACTTACACTAGCCAGGCTGCTGAGTTACAAGACCGGGAATTTGGGAAGAGAGATTCACTCGGGACCTACAGTAGCCAGGCTGCTGAGTTACAAGACCGGGAATTTGGGAAGAGAGATTCACTCGGACCTACAGTAGCCAGGCTGCTGAGTTACAAGACCGGGAATTTGGGAAGAGAGATTCACTCGGGACCTACAGTAGCCAGGCTGCTGAGTTACAAGACCGGGAATTTGGGAAGAGAGATTCACTCGGGACCTACAGTAGCCAGGCTGCTGAGTTACAAGACCGGGAATTTGGGAAGAGAGATTCACTCGGGACCTACAGTAGCCAGGCTGCTGAGTTACAAGACCGGGAATTTGGGAAGAGAGATTCACTCGGGACCTACAGTAGCCAGGCTGCTGAATTACAAGACCGGGAATTTGGGAAGAGAGATTCACTTGGGACTTACACTAGCCAGGCTGCTGAGTTACAAGACCGGGAATTTGGGAAGAGAGATTCACTCGGGACCTACAGTGGCGAGGAGGCTGATGTATGTGCTCAGGAGTTGAAGAGGAACTGGATGAGTGAATATGGCACGAGCAGCAAGAGAGATGCCGATTGCCTGCAGAGAACCTTGGAAGAGAGAGACCTGACTGGTGTGTTCAGTGTGCGACACTCAGAGCAGCAGGATAAAGAATTTGGGAAGAGAGATCAAAGAGACAGCTACTGCTCTAGAGAGGCAAACAGGGAGGAGAGGCTGGAGAAAGAACCAGAGGGCTTATATGGCCCTACTACTTCCAGTTTACAGGACCAAGAGCTTGGGGAGAGAGACTTGAGCCACTGGTCCAAGAGCAATGACTCTAACCATCAGGGAGAGTTTGGGAAGAAAGACCAAGCTGGGACTTACAGGAGCAATGATGTCAACTGCCAGCCAAAAGACTGGCCTAGTGAATTTGGCCAACGAGATATAAGTCAAATGGAGAGGGAATTCAGTCTAGGGAGACGGGATTGGACCAGTGACTTCCGAATTGAAGGCACAGACAAGAGTGACCAATTTGGTATCATTGGGACTGATCGGGGGAACTGCTCGGGCCTGGGCGTTCTTAGTGGCTCAGACACAATGGGAAGCACCAACTTTGTGTCACCTGGGAAGATTATGATGGGACAGACACAATGGACTGATGATCTGGGCCTCAGGAACTTGGATGTATCTGGTTGTGTGGGATCAGAAGGGTCGAGTGAGGTCCGAGAGCATGGGGTTGGACAGACTGATTGGTCCTCTGACCTGGTCTTGAGAAACATGAATATGCCCAGTGGCTTAGGGGATGGAGGGCCTGGAGAAGTGGAGCATGGAGTAGGACAGAAAGATTGGACCCCAGATCTTGGACTGAGGAACATAGATGTCTCAGGGGTCATAGAGTCAGCAGGGCCCAGTGAGGCTAGAGAGTGTGGGGTAGGACAAATGGACTGGGTTCAAAGCCTTGGAATGAGGAATGTGGATGCACCCAACGATGTGGAGCCTGGAGATCCACTTTTATCAAGGGAGCATGGAGTAGGACAGGCAGACAGGACACCTCACCTCAAGCTGAGAAACACAGATCTGGGGACAGGAGGCGGCCTCAGAGAGCATGGTGTAGGACAAATGGACTGGACCCATGAGCTGGGGTTGAGAAACGTGAATCCATCTAGTCCCCTGGAGTCTGGGGGTTCCGGTGAAGCACGAGAATGTGGAGTTGGACAGATGGACTGGCAGAATGATTTGGGCCTCCGGAACACTGATCTTTCGGATAGCTTGGATCTTAGAGGTCCAAGTAAAGCCCGACAGCATGGCGTTGGCCAGGTGGACTGGTCTCGTGATACGGACCTCACAAGCCCTAGTTTATCTAGTGTCTTGGAAGCCAGAGAGCCTTCCGAAGTCCGCGAGCTGGGAGTTGGAGAGGTGAGCCAGCCTGGCATTTTGGTGAGCCACTATGGCGGTGACTCTTCACAGCGCTCAGAGAGTAGTGCGTCTGACATTGGAATGGACTCAAGAGAGACCACGAACTCAGGAACCAGGTAAGGGAACCCCAGTCCAGGGCAGAGCGGGCTCTGTCACACTTGCCTACCTGCCAAAGGTTTTTTGTCTTCCCTGCCACACCACTTTCTCCTAAAGTTTGGGAGAATGACATAATTAGAAAGCATAAAGTGTTTAAGAAAATAGCAAGCATTTATGCAGCGATTTAAGATTCGCAAAATACTTTACAAATAGAGTCAGAGGCATTTAGGGTTAGGGTTAGGGTTGGAGTGGGAGGCATGCCTTGCAACCTCCCTGGGAGGTAGATACTATCATTATCCCCATTTTGCAGATGATAAAACTGAGTAAGATAGAGGTTAATTGACTTATCCAGGTTTTACCCAGATAGTAAGTACCTGAGGGTGGATTCGAATTCAGGTTGTCCTGGCTCCAGGACCAATGCTCTACCCCCCACCCAGCTGCCTCTAAGATAAGATGATCATATGTTGCTACCCAACATTTAGTCTCCTAAAATGATTTCATAAAACAACTTCGCACAGTATCAGGCCATAGAACACTTGGGTAGGTCAGGGCGCCTATTCAAGTGTGTGATGTATTTTGCCTCCAGTGGGGCATAGCCACTTTGATGTAAAGAAGGTGGTCTTCCTCTTAGGACTTTGCTATGGAAGTTGGTATATATCTATCTGTCCTAAATAGGTCCCCAGGCTCTGGGAATAAAGAGAGTATTGGCTTTGGTGGACATTTCATTCCTGTAGAGGTGAGAAACCAGAAGCCTCCTGGCCTGCTTCTTCTGGAGGCTCTGGGCAGAGGGGTAAAAGCAAAAAAGATTGGGTGCTGGAAGGAAGTTGAAACCTGGCTTCTCTCGACCTGGTGACCTGGGGTCCCAGAAGTCAGTTCAAAGAAAGGATGCTTCTTTACTGAGAGGCCAAACCTGGTTATTTTTGAGGAGGTCAGATTGGGCAGAATATACTGTTGAGTCACAAAACTAATGTTTTTCACATCTGAAAAGGATATAGATTTTTAGGTACCTATGTTTTGCTCTCCCCCTCCCCCAGATTTTTTGTTTTACCATCTCTTGGTGCTGCCCCTTACATTGTTAATGGTTTCTAAGTCAGGATGGAGTAGGAGCTGGGTCAGTGAGTGGTAGGATGCAGTGCTGGGCGCATCATCGATGCTTAAGACATGGTTTAGCAGGATTCTGGTTCTCACGTGTTTCCACAATGGCAGAATCCTTCAGATGAAACAAAGCTTTAGCAGAAGGCTTTTAGTAAAATCTTCTAAAATGATTCTTTTTGATGCCTGTTAACAAACAACATAAGGCTCTTTTAAAAAAAAATACAAACCAAAAATGTGGAGTGTTTCAATGTACTTTGCACAGAGTTTGAGAAACGTCATATTAGGAGATAGAGGAAGGAATAAGAGGAGAAAGAGGACTGACGGAAGGGTTGGCTTTATGGGATACCGAGGGACGGCCACAGGAGGCCCTGCGGAGGGGTAGGCAGGGACAAGAAGTGGAGGGGAAAAGAAGAAGAGGCTAGGAGGAACAGGGTGAGAGATCTGGGACAGGAAGGGGCAGGCAGATAGAGAAGGTGAGGGGGCATGTGGAAGAGTTGGGGAGAAGTTCTGAGGTCCAGGGGGGCGGGGGGCCGAGGAAGGGAAGGGTGGCTGACCAGGGCTTGGAGGCAGGGCAGAGGAGTGCTCTGGCTCTGCTGTTACTGGCTGGGTGACCTGTAGAAAGGCAGTTCCCTCTCTGGGCCTCAGTTTCCTGAGCTGTAAATGGAGGCTGGCCAGTTCCATGAGTCTTTTGTTGAAGTTAGGGAGAGAAGGCAAGAGTCGGGTCGCTGCTCCTAAGTCTTCTCCTCAGCTTTCTCAACTTCTTCAAATGCCTAACATCACACACTTACTGATCAAGACAAAGTCTCCATGAAGTAGAACCTCAGAACATTAGAACTTTAGAGAGAGCCGACATTTTACCTGGGCTCTTCATTTTACAGATAAGGGGAACTAAGGCCTAGAGAAGGAAAGTGATTTTCCCACATTCACCGAAAGTTATTGGTGGAGACAGGATTCGACCCCAGTTCTTCTGTCTGTCCCTGTGGTACTCTAACACGGCCCCAGGCTCCTTGTTCATGTCCAGCACTGCTGTGGGCCCTGCCTGCTGCTCCTTTTCTAAGATTCTGATGGTGCAGGGATGTCCTCAGGGCCTCCACGGATCCATCCTCTGCCACAGGTGGCCTGGCATGCGCTAGAAAACCCCAGGGTCCAAATTGGAATCCAGGTTCATCTGTTTCCTACCTGGTGGCCCCGGGGGAAATCAGTTCATTCTCTGGACCTCAGTCTTCTCATCTGTAGAGAGAAAAGAGAGGCCTGAACTGGATGATTCTTAGGCCTCTTCCAGTTCTCAATCTGTGATTTGCTAAAAAGAGAACGGGGAAGGGGAGAAGGGAGAATGGTGCCTTTCTTGGGGGAGGCTGTAGGCACGGCAACAGCTATTTATCATACACTGTGTACCAGGGAGTTGCTAAGTGGCCCAGTGCATGGAGCACCAGACCTAGAGTTCCAATCTGGCCTCAGACACTTCCTAGCTGTGTGACCCTGGGCAAGCCACTTCACCCTGTCTGGCTCAGTTTCCTCATCTGTAAAATGAGCTGGAGAAGGAAATGGCAAACCACTGCCGTGTCTGTGCCAAGAATACTCCAGATGGGGTCACCAAGAGTCGGACATGACTGGGGCAGCTGGGTGGCTCAATGGATAGAGCACTGGCCCCGGAGTTAGGAGGACCTGAGTTCAAATCCGGTCTTAGACCACACACTGGACACTAGCTGTGTGACCCTGGGCAAGTCACTTCACCCCAATTGCCTTACTTAAAAAAGAAAAAAAGAGTAGGACATGACTGACACAACTGAACAGCAATACTATGTACTAGGCTACTCCTGTGTTCAAACTCTGAGGCCCCCAGTTCCTGCCTTCAGGGAGCTTATGTTCTAATGGGGAAGGGCAGAGTGCCAGAGGCAGCCCGGGGGAAGGGGGGGGGGAAGGAAGTGGAGTGGAGGTGAAGGGTAGGGCTTGTGATTCCAGAAAGGGGCTGCACTAAACCCAACTGTTTCCAGCTTTGAGCTCTGTCACCTCCTTTTAAACTTCTCAGATCACCTTTCTTTACTGATCTTCAGGTGATCTGACCGGTGTCAGCAGTAGCTGGGTCTCTGGGTGCAAGAGGCCTAAGATGCCATTCTGGTTCAACCCTTTCATTTTGTAGATTAGAAAATAAGTCCAGGAGAGGTGCAGGTACTTGCCCGAGGTTACCTGGGTGGGAAGTGTCAGGGGAACCCAGGGGCTCCAAAACGCAGAGCCACTGGCCTTCATTGTAACAATTCAAGGATCCCTTGCTTTATGCAGTGAAGCATCTCACTGTGGAAAGGAACTCGGTGGGGAATCCATTTGGAAAGTGAGGATTCTGTGAAGCACGTGGTTCCCTTTCACTTCATCCAAATGCCTGTGTTTGTGCAAGGGTTTCTTTTAGAGAGTCATACAGGTATCCTTCTGGGGCTCCCCTCTGGGTGAGGGGTGGATCTTCCCAACAAGGACTGAAGGAGATCTAAAGTTGTGCTCGATGCAGACACAGTCACAGCAGGAGTAGGAGATGCTGCCCTGAGCAGAAGGAGCACATGGCCACGTGAGTCTCAGCCACTTACACTGGGAGGCAGCTCACTGTGGTGACAGCTGGGCTTCTGGCCGGCGGGGGCTGCACGCAGAAGGTTCAAGCCCTGCCAGGGGTGAGGTGGCCCATGTCCAAAGGTCCTTCCCGCTCTGGGGGCTGTGGGGGAACCTGATCATTGCCCTGGCCTGAGTGACCAGAAGTCTCTGAGTGTCTCTAGTGTGCTGTTGGCATCCTGTCAGGTTCTGTCCTTCTGTCTTCTTTCCACCCTAGAAGACTGCCTCCATTTGGGGATCTTTTTAGGTCCTGCAGGCTCAAGTAGCATCTCCATGCAGGGAATTCCTAGATCAATATATCCAGCCCTCATCTCTTTCCTGAGCGCCAGGCTTGCACTACCAGTCGCCTTTTCAGCCCCTTGAATTGATGTTCAAAGGCATCGCAAGCTCGGCGAGCCCCAAACAGAGCTCTTCTCTTTGGCCCCAAACGCTCACTCTGTGAGTCTCCCTCCTGCAGTTTGAGGGCACTGTCATCCTCCCAGATGCTCCCTCCCTCCCTTCTTGCCTCCCTCAGGAGGCCTTTCCCATCCTCCAGCTGCTCTGGCCTTCCCCTTTCAGACTGCCTTCCATCTGCTTCCTATATATTTGTGTGGACCTAGTCATTTACATGTCGTTTGCCTCATTAGAATAATAGCTCCCTGTCTGTATTTACCTTTCTCTGTCCCTAGTGTTTAGTTTAATTGCTAGTTGATAGGCTGAGCTGGGAGGGACTTTAGAATATAATGTCAGAGATAAAGAAATTCAAGACCATCTCATGACAGCCATTCCCTCTTCCTCACCTCCCCCTATAAAGCACTTAATGGATGAAGCAGGCTCAGAAAAGGGGATTAATTTGCTTGGGGTCACCCAGTGGATTGGTACTTTTTTTAAAACTAAAATCATTTTTAGCATTCATTTTTTAAAAAGCTTGAGTCCCAAATTCTCTCCCTCCCTCCAGTATCTCACCCACTCATTGAGAAGGGAAGCAATATGATGTCAATTAAGCATATGAAATAATGCGAAACATATTGCCATATTAACCATGTTGCAAAAAAAAAAAAGCAAGAAAAGAAAGTGAAAAAACATGCTTCCGTCTGTACTCAGAACTCGTCATTTCTCTCTCTGGAGGCAGACGGCAGTGTTCATGAGGGCTTTGGATCTTGGATCATCGTGTTGATCAGAGCAGCTGAGTCTGCAGGGTTGGTCACCCTTGTATTATTGCCTTGACTGGGCAAATGTTCTCCTGGTTCTGCTCACTTCACTTTATATCAGTTTATGTAAGTCTTCCCAGAGTTTTCTGAAACCATCCTGCTGGTCATCTCTTTTCTTTTCTTTTCTTTTTTTGGTGAGGCAATTGGGGTTAAGTGACTTGCCCAGGGTCACGCAGCTAGTGAGTGTCAAGCTTCTGGTCTGAGGCCGAATTTGAATTTAGGTTCTCCTGACTCCAGGACCGGTCCTCTCTTCACTGCACCACCTAGCTGCCCCCTGCTTGTCATTTCTTATAGCACAATAATATTCCATCACAATCATATACCACAACTTGTTCAGCCATTCCTCAATCCCCTTAATTTCCAATTCTTTGCCACCACAAACAGAGCTGCTATAAATATCATTGTATAAATTGTACCTTTTCCCTTTTCTTGGATCTCTTTGGGATGTAGACCTAGTAGTGGTATTGCTGGGTCAAAGAGTTTTATATGGTTTTAGAGCCCTTTGGAGAAAGTTCCAAACTCTTCTCCAGAATGGTTGGGCTGGTTCACAACTCCACCAACAATGCAAAAACAGTTAGTGTCCTAATTTTTCCACCTCCCCTCCAGTGTTTGTGATTTGTAAGCTGGTGCTTGTGGCTTACCACCTCACCCTGTTGGGCCTCAGCCCCTGGATTGACGGTCTCTAAGGCCCAGATGTACCACTCCTGAGAGCCTGTAGGAACTGAAAGGGTCCTCCGTGGTCATGTAGTCCAACAGCCTTTTACCAATGAAGAAAATGAGCTACTTGCCTGAGGTCAGAGAGGCAGGAAGTGGGAGTGCCTCTGATGTAGAATCCAGTGCTGTTTCCTTGTGTCCATTGGCTGTCTGTGCTTCTCCAGAATCTACCCTACAGGCCCAGCAGAGGATCTCTCTCTGACCTTGGCTTCTCTCCGGGTCTAGTGCCTCTGCTCTCTCCCTAGAGCTCACCAAGGATGCCAGCCTGTCTGAGAGCCCTGACTCAGGAATTAGGGGTCTTGTTCTGGGGCTGGCTCCACCACCGACTGGCATCGAGACCCCTACTCTCTGGGGCTCCGTTCCCTTCTCTGCCACATGGTAGTACTGGACTTGATGACATTTGGTGGCAGTAGTGGATAATGAGCTGGGCTTGAAGGTAGAAGGAGCTGAATCCTGCCTCTGACACTTACTGGGCAAGTCATTTATCTCTCGGCCTCTGTTTCCTTGTCTGAAAAGTGGGTATAACAGTAGGGCCTCTATCTGCTTAGGTATTGGGCTACTGTGAGGATCAGATGAGATAACATATGTGAAGTGCTTTGCCCATCTCGGGTTCTGTGTAAATGATCATTATTGTCGTCGTCGTCGTTGATGCTTCATTATTCACCAGCACCTCCCACAGCCACGCTGACTGTTAGATTGAGAAAGGGCCTTCGAAGTCATCAAGTCCAAACTGGATCCCAGCTCACTCCAGCAGCCTTTGTACCGTGTGCCTCTTCCCACAACACTGCCCTTGTCCCTCCCAGTGGCCCGTGAAGTAGAAGAGCAGGTCTGAGATGATGTGCCCCAGGGCGCCAAGCCACTTAGGTCTGGATCTGGGCCTGGCACCCGGGTCTGCTGACTGTCCACCGAGCCCTCCACAAGATGGAAGGCAGAGGAAGCAAGGCTGGGGGGTGGGCGGAGGTAGCGGGGTCATCTTCGGCCCCCTGTGGGCCTCTGAATTCTCCTTTCTCCGTGGGGCCCTCCCTGCCACCTTTTCTATCTGTTTGCTTGGCTGCAAGGCGGAGCCTTAGGCTGCACGGGCATTCACCTTTCCTGACCTTCCTGGTCACTGCTGTTTGCTTTTCCCCAGAGAAACTGGTCCAGGGGAATGACCCTTATGTCAAGCCTGCCTTCAGCGGGCATTGCTTAATAGCCTCGGCTCAGTCTTCACAGACTTTTCTTCTCTCACTGTTGCCTTCCCTGGCTTTGGTTGCCATCAGCCAGCAGCTCGGGGAAAGCCTGAGCAGCACACGCGGCCTCTGCCATGCCCTTCTTCTTGGGCTGCTTGTTGGCCCACATCCATCCTGGGCACCGAGCTTCCCACTGCTTCTAGCCCTGGACAGGGACTCTGTGTGTGTGTGTGTGTGTGTGTGTGTGTGTGTGTGTGTGTGTGTGTGTGCACATGTCTGTGGTGTGTATGTGTGCACAGGGAGGATGTAAGTGGGATCTGATCTGGATCCTCGCAAAGCTCACAGACTGCTGGCACCTGGCAAGGCCCTTGGAGACCATCTACTCCAACCCCCTCATTTGTGGCCTGGAGAGGCTGGGTGACTTGCCCAATATCACACACGTCATAAGTGACGTGTAGCATTTGAACCCAGCTCCTCCAGTGCTGAAGCCAGTTGTCACACCAGTGGCCAGCCCCAAGGGCATCCAGTCCCTTAAGGAAATGATAAACAGAAGCCCCCCCTTTACCTAGCTAGGGCTTTAAGCTTCCCAAAGGGTTTTCTCACAGCAAATCTGGCCAGGGAGATGGTGCACAGATCAGGTTCCTCACGTTATAGACGAGGAATCAGTCTCTGAAGTGCCTCTCCTAAGGCCATGCAGATAGGAAGCGGTGGTGCCAGGATTTGAATCCAGACTCTGTCTGTAGCTCTTTTCCGTGTAAGGTTCTCACTCTGTCTTTGCGTGTTGATGCTGAAAGATGCTGGGGGAGCCTGGGTAGGATTGGGAGGAGAATGGAGGAGGTAAGTCGGCATGGGGCATGCTGCTCTGTCCTCCCGGTGGTGTTCCTTAAGCCTCTCAAAACCCTCTTCCCCCACAGCCCCGGCGGGTGCACTGCCCGGTCTCCACCTTCTGGCTGTCAGGGCCTGTTGCAAGACATGTTGGCCACCAGCAATCTCAGAGCATCTGCTGGCAGAGAGGAGGCGGCCTTAGGCCCCAGGGGCCAGCTAGAAGAGGAGGAGGAAGAGGGAACAGTAGCAGATGATGATGAAGAGATGGAGCCGGAGCTTAGAGGGGACGCTCTGCCTTCTTGCAGGCCCCAGCCCGATGGTGAGGCCAGCCGGACAGAGGAGGTGGACGGCAGCTGGGCCTCCCGGGGGGACGGCCCAGCTGCCCCGAGGCTGCTCCCAAGCCCTCCCTCCAAGTTGTCTAGCCAGGACTTCTCCTTTATCGAGGTCAGTGGATGGCAGGGCTTGGGGCTGAGGTCACTCCATGTGGGCTCTCTAGTTGGGAAAGATCTGCTGCCCATGGCTGGGGTCAGTTGAATTCTCCTAAATATCATGTCAAAAAATTCAAGTCAACAGACAGTTGTTAGGCGCTCGCTGTTTGCAGTGCCCCATTAAACCTTCCCTGAGCCTCTTTTGGGGATCCCTAGAGGACCCAGTGGGTACGAGCTCTGTGACTTGGGCAAGTCCTTTGAGGGTGGAGAGGGCTGCTGGTGGCCTTGGGCATGGGGCAGAAGGGCTTATTCCACAGGAGGCCATGGATTGCAGGACTTGAAGGGGCCTTAAGGGCATCTCATTAATTCTCTCATTTTACAGCAGAAAAGGCCAGGTTCTAACACTGGTGTGGAGCCCAGATGCCAGGTCACTGGTCCCCAGTCCAGGCCTTTCCCCTTCAGCACAGAGGCAGGGGGTTGGGGGAGGGGGCGCAGTCAGGGACCTTCCACCTGTTGTTGCTGTAGCTTTCAGGGGTGTCCTGGTGGCTGGGGAGATAGGGCTGGAGATTACTAGGAGCAGGTCTCCAGCATCAGGGCTGCAAATGGCCAATTAGGAGAGGGCAGGAGGATCAGATTGGACCAGATCTGGGTCAGATGGTTGACTGAGGCAGGTTCAGGTGTCCTTGTTTGGTTCTAGGACACAGAAGTTCTAGACAGTGCCATGTATCGGAGCCGTGCCAATTTGGGCCGCAAGCGTGGGCACCGAGCCCCGGCCATCCGGCCTGGGGGTACATTGGGGCTTTCAGAGGCTGATAATGATGCCTGGATCTTCCAAGATTCCACAGGTAGGAAAACAGGGCTGGTGAGAGGGGGTGGAGCAGAGCAGGGTTTCCCACCTGGGGCAGGATTGCTGATGTACAGCATAAGATAATGCTAATTACACTTGTATAGTACTTTAAGGGGGACTCGTTGCCTTCCTCAAAACAATTCAGCAAAGTCAGTAGGTTAAGGATCAGTGCCCCCATTTTACAGCTGACAAAATTGAGGCACAAGAGATTAAGTGACATTTGATTGATAAAGAAGCAGACCCAGAGAGGTAGAGCTGTTACCCGAGGATCACTGAGCTAGTAAGTAACAAAGCCAGTCTTTGAACGTAGCTTCTGCCTTCCAAGTCCCCTCGTCCTTCCATCATACCACACCATCTTTGGACACCAGTTAACCTAGGACCTGAGGTGGAGATTGGGGAGGATTTATTGAAATGACTAGGTATAGTGGACAGAGCCCAGAACGTTAGCCATGAAAAGGATGTTAGTGATTCGGGGCTGAGCAGACCTGGGGCCTACTGTCTGGTGCTCAGCACCTCTGCCCACCCCAACTATTCTCCTCCAGAGCCGCGGGCATCTCGGGTGCCATCTTCAGATGATGAGGTGGTAGAAGAGCCTCAGAGCCGCCGAACACGGATGTCCCTGGGAACCAAGGGCCTAAAAGTCAACCTGTTCCCTGGCTTGAGCCCCTCTGCTCTCAAGGTACCGGCAGCAGCCCCACCAGGCAGGGCTGTGGTAGGGGAGGTGGGCGGTGGGCTGGAGGCAGACCCCTATGATGAGTCAAGGCTGGTGCTGCAGGCGGAATGATCAGAGAGATGCTCCCTGCCATGTCGGCCCAGCTAGATTGTCCCTGTTGTCCCGGCCATTCCCGTCCGTAGCCATCACTGTCACCTCTCTATCTGTCTAGAGTAGGGTCTGGAGCTAGACCATTTAATGAAACCTCTTCGGTTTACAGAGGAGGAAACCGAGCCCAGAGAGGTTAAGTTACTTAGCCAAGGTCACACAACTAGTGTCTGAGCCAGAATTTGGACCCGCATCTGACCTTAAGGCCAAACGTGCTATAGCAGGCTGCCTGCCTCCACTGGCTTTCTCCTTCCCCTTCCCTCCTCTCCTCTTGTTCTTTTTCATGGGTTCCCTTTTCTGCTTGTGACTTGATCTTTTGAAACACAGGCTAAGCTGCGTCCCCGAAACCGTTCAGCTGAAGAAGGGGAACAGGTGGAGAGCAAGTCAGCCCAGAAGGAATCCGCCGTCCAGCGCTCCAAGTCCTGCAAGGTTCCCGGCCTCGGGAAGCCCCTTGCATTACCTCCCAAGCCGGAGAAATCCTCAGGGTAGGTGAGAAGGGCCTGGGGATCTTCCCATGCTGGAGGACCTGCCCCAGGGGCCCCTCAACCGTACAGAAGGATCCCTGTGAGCTGCTTGGCACCTTAGAAAATCGCTTATTTACATTATCTGTGTCTTAGGGTAGTTTTAGGTATTTTGTTTAGTATTTCCCACTGACATTTTCATCTGGTTCGAGCCCCATAGACCCCTGAGGTGCGCCCCCAGCTAGGTAATACCTGTGCTCTCTCCCCAGTCTAAGCTTCCTTTTCACCAGATCCACACTAACTCTTCTGACTTTGGGTCTACCTCTGTCCACCTCAGCTCGAGGGGATGTCGCTCTCTGTGAGAGGAAGTGACATGGGCTGACGACGTCACCCCGTGGCAAAGCCTAGACTCAAATCTCTTTGCCTCGACCTTCCTTCCATCCCGTCCCAGGGCCTCCTCTTCTCTTTGGTGACTTGATGGCCGCCCCACAACCCCAGGTCCTGCCCAGGAAAGCTCGGGGACTCACTCTCTCTCTGTCCACTGTCTAGGTCCGAAGGTTCATCACCCACCTGGCTACAGGCATTGAAGCTGAAAAAGAAGAGGGTCTGAGGTGCCACTTCAGAGGTGAGCAGGGGTCCCTGTCGCTGCACGGGGCTGCCAGGGCCGGGGGCTGTGCTCACCCCGACCCCTTCTCCTGGGACCCTGCCAGAGCTGGGCCTCAGCCAGAGCCTGGGGGTCTCAGGCCTTCCCAGGGTCACACTGAAGGATCTGGTCATTGTGTGGCCACCAAGAGCTCGAGGATTTGGCTGCTGTCTGGTGGGTCGGAAAGCTCACCACGAGGGGGTTTGAGGAAGACCTCCCTAGTAGTGAAAGTGTACGCTGAAGGTTTCCCAGAATCCATGCCTCTGGCCAGTCTTCACACTGGCCATCAAGGAATGTTTCCTGGCACGCATTCTGGTGTCATTATTTCCCTTCCACAAAACCCCTGCTGGGATGCAGCATGGGGTGGGGGGTGGGAGGGATGTTGGAGGGCAGTCTGGCTTTGAATGCCACCCCCAAGGGTGGCCTGGCCTAGTAAAGAGAAGAGAGGGCATGCCTTGCCAGGCTGCCTGCAAGGCTATGGGGTTCGTGCTGTCCCACAGTAGCAGGGACTTGTAGATCTGGAGTGGACTGTAGAGATCATCTGATCTACCACCCCCTCATTCTTCCAAGATAGAAACTGGGACCCCGATTGAGTCAGTGATTTACCCAGGGTCTCTTCACACTGAGGAAGTCGCAGCTCCTTGAATTGCCATTAGTATTAGTGTCATCTGCTATGGCAATCACAGCTGGCCTTTCCAGAGGAGGAAACAAGGCAGGAGCCTTCCGGTGACGAAGAGGGCTTAGCATCCAGTTTGCAGGGACTTGGGGACATTCTGTCCGTCTGCCAGGAGCCATCCTGGGGGACAGTGAGATTCAGGGAATGCTTGAGAAAGGGAGTTAGAGAAGGGGGGCAGCGTTGCGGGGAGCTCCTGAGCCATCCCTCCCTCTTTCCTGCCTAGCCCCTGCCCCCAGTAATAGCCTCTTCCTCTTTCCCTCACAGGTGGTTCCTGTCGGTCCTCTGAAGCAGCCCAACCTTGTAAGGCCCTGGACCGGGGAGGAGGGCTGGAGCTTGGGCTGTGGCCCCCCCCCCCACTCTGGCCTCCTCCCCCACCCTGCCCCCAGGCACATTTATGCACTTTGTATCCCCGCCTCCTTCCCCACCCCTCTTGGGATGCAGTCATTAGAATGGTTGCTGGTGTTGGCCCCCCTCCCTCAGGCCCTTTCCCCCCCCATTCTTCCTCGCCCCCCCACCCACCTTTGGGTTTTCTTTTGATACCACTTTATAACATTTTGATAAAAGCCTCTGATTTTTTGTAACGGGCGGTGGGCCGCCCCCTTTCTTCCCCCCAGGAGCCCCGTGGAGACCAAGGACGTTTTGTCACTTGAAACAATAAAGTTTTTTGGGGATTGGTGATGTAGGCCCTGCTGTGTGTGGGTTCAGGGCCCCCCCCCCCCGACTCCACGCAGCACACCCGTCCTCAGGAAGGGGTGACTGCCCGGGCATTAGGCTCAGTTCAATTCGGTAATCATTAAGCGCCTACCACGGACCAGGCCCTGCCCTCAAGGAGCTTACAGTTACTGGGGGAACAGAGCTAGGAGGTGTATGCAAGCGCCACAGAGAAGGGAGAATGAAGGAGACGACAAGACATAACGGACCCGAGGCAAGGATCTCTTTACAACGATGTACGCTGTGAGGGTCTCTTCCGGGGCAGGGCTGTAGGATTTAGAGAGGAGAGGCAGTGCCGTCTCATTCACCCTCCTTACAAGCGAGGTGAGAAGTGACTTACTCCGCAGGCGAACAGCGGCAGAGCTGGCCCGAGAACCGTTTGATCAGGCCCGCTGATGCTGTCCGGGGGCTGGGCTGCTGCGGCCCGGGTCCAGGGAGCCGTCGTCCGGGGGGATAGGGAGAGAATCGTCAGAGTTCACAGTGTGGCCCTGACCCTGAAGCCGAGGCCATCCCGCCTGTCTGGGCTTTAGTTTGCTGATCTGTAGAACGGAGAAGTTGGATCTCAGTCCTCTGGAGCCTTCCAGCTCTAACATTCTCTCCTTCTCCACCGTGGGGACTGCCCCAGTTAAAGCCTCCTTCCCGCTGTCCATTCCGCTGGCTCAGCTTCCTGGCTCCAGGCAGAGCCGCCAGCAGCTCTGCTGCCCCAGTCTCCTCCACTGGCTCTGCCAAACTACTCTTGACCCTTATTATCCCTTCTGGGCAGGGGGCAGGTGCGGGCCTCCCGCCTAGAAAGGAGCCCAAGACAGCATCGGGGCTGGACGGGACCACACAGGCCTTCTAGTCCACCCCCCTCCCCCGACAGAAGTGACTTACCTGGGGGCACGCAGGAAAGAAGCGGCCTGATAGATTTCCTAAATCCCAGAAGCTCAAGGGGCCCGAGCATAGTGTAGGAGACTTCTCTGCCAAAATCTGGAGGAGGCTTTACCTGTATGGAACGGACTGTGTGTGTGTGTGTGGGGGGGGAGGCGGGGGAGCCTTAAAGACCAGCTGTCTTCTCTTCCCCCCCCCACCTTACAGATGAGGAGACAAGTAGTTCAGCTTCCTGGCTAGCTCAGGACCGAGGCGGGACCTGAGCCCGTGTGTGCTTTTTGCCCCCCCCCCCCAGCACTTAGTACAGCGCCTGGTACCTAGTAGGGGCCTAATAGGTGGTTCCCGAGTGCCTAGCACTCGTTCGGTCCTTGCGTGAGAAGTAGTGTGGGTCTGTGTTGCACTAAGAGGGTGGGGGGGAGGGGCACAGGGCTGGAACATGAACGTGGCGGCCGCTCTTCCCCATCCCCCGCCCCCTAGCGTAGTGGGAGCAGGGACGGCAGTGCTGTGGATTCAAAGTTCGGCCGCTGCCCAGAAGGTTGGCACAAGCCATGCTGCCTTCCTCCTCTCCTGCCCGGCAGCCCAAAGCAAGCGCTGAAGCCTCATTAGCCAAACAAATGGAGCCAGTCAGCTCGGGGCTGCTGCCACTGCCACTATGGGATGGGCTTCTCCCTCTTGGGAAGGGCAGCCTGGTGAGGGTTCTGCTGCCCAGGAACTTGGGGATGGGGCTGTAGAGTCTGAGCTTGGAGATCATCTAGTCTAACCCCTTCATTTTACAGAGGAGGAAACTGAGATACAGAGGTTAAGTGACTTGCTCAGGGTGACACAGGATATATAGATCACACTAAGATGAGACTGGCTTGTCTATTTTTTGCAAATGGACCAGAACTTAACAGATCTCAATCAATGCTATTCCCTTACGGAGGCCACATCCTTATTTCAAGAATGCTGCCACTGCTCAAAACATGGCTAGGCTACTCTGGGGGAACTACCATATGACCCTGGTCAACCTAACTGTTGGTAGGGGGCTTTCTGGCTTCCCCGCTGCTTTAAGCAGCTCGAGGAGGTGTGTGTATATATATCTATATCTATCTATCTATCTATCTATCTATCTATCTATCTATCTATCTATCTATCTATCTATCTATGCACCCAGACTGGGTGCAGTGGAAAGTCAGAGGAACAACTCCTGAGGCAGAATCTGAAACATCTTATTCGTGTGCCCTCAGACACGTCCCTTCCCATCTCTGGGCTGCCATTTTCTCATCTCTCAAATTTGTTACATGATCTCAGCTGGGCCCTCTCAGCAACAAGACCATCCTTTTAGCCATCCCCTCCAGACCTGGAATAAAACCAATATCCCACCCCCTCATCTTTCCCCAAAGCTCCTGTGATGCTGCCCGCCCGCTAACCCCCCCCCCCAAGTGGAGAACCTGACCCAGTCCTCACTGAAAAAATGGAGGCTGTTTGCTGAGAGCTCTTTTCTCTCCTCATCTTGCATCACTCATACTTCTTCCTCGGCTTCCTCCTCCGTCCCTTGTCTCCCTTCTTTGACGTGTACCCTGGATCCCTTCTCTCCATCTTCTCCAGCAGATTTCCCCTTCTGTCATCCTTCCTGTCTAATCTTTAATCACCCCCTGCCTACTCACTCCTTCCCTCATTCCTGTGAACTCCCCTGCCTCCTCCATCTTTAATAATAACTAGCAATTTACACAGGGCTTTAAGGTTTGCAAAGTGCATTACAAATATTTTATCCTCACAGAAATGTAGGTGCTTTTATTATCCCTATTTATGCATGCGAACTGAGGCAGACCAGTCAAGTGACTTGCTCAAGGTCACACAGGTAGGAAGTGTCTGAGGCAGGATTTGAACTGGAGTTTAAAACCTCATTTGTTCTGGCCATTGCCACTAGGTGCCATCCTGTATCTGTTGTCCCTTTCTAAGCTAAACTTGAGGAAGCCCTCTACACTCGGTGCCTCCACTTCTTCCACACATTTCTTAACTCTGCAGTCTGGCTTCTCATAGCATCATTCAACCAAAACTCTTCTCTCCTGTTGCCAGTGACCTTTTGGTTGCAAATCTAATGGTCTTTTCTCAATCTTTATCCTTCGTGATGTCTCTGCAGACTTTGACACGATCCATCACCCTCTTCTCTTTGATACCCACAAACCCAAGTAATCCTCATTGTAATGTTCCTCATAGGTGGTTTGTGAAGCCTCTGCTTGAAGGTTCCCAAGGCAGGGGAACTCATCACCTCTGGAGGCAGCCATGCCACTTTGGACAGCTATCGTTGTTAGGACTGTGTGTGTGTGTTGCCCCGATGTCCATTCTAAATTGACTTCCTTGTAATTTCCACTCTGCTCCAGTTCTGTCCCTTGGGGACAAACAGAATGTCTAATCTCTATTCCATGTGACAGTCTTTCAGATCCTGGAGGAGAGCTGTCATGCTTTGCCCCCACTCTGTTGATCTTCTCATGTCCAATCATCCTCAGTTTCTTCACCCAGTCCTCAGAGGACTGGTAGCCAGGACCCCTCATCACTCCGATCGCCTTCCTCCTGACATACTCCAGGCCCTAGACATCCTTAAATAGATCCTTAAGCCATAATGCCAAGAACTGAGCATGCCGCTCCAGCCGAGAGCAGAGGACTGCGAGAACTTGGGCAAGTTAACCTCCCCCTTCCTTCTGCTCTTGTTTCCTCATTTATCAAAAAATGGGTCGTGCTCCATGCTGCCAAAGGCCCCTTCCAGCTCTAAGTCCTATGATCTTAGCTCACTCCTTGACGATCAGTTTGTATGGAGCAGGTGAGCATCGCCCCACCAGCTTCCTCCATTCCTCCCCCCTTTCCCTCGTGCTGGTAGGTTTTACAGCTGCATAATCTCTCCCTCAGGGGAGAGAGCCAAGATGCTCTAAGCAGGAACCAGCCTGAGAGAACAGCTGTGTTCAGAATGATAAAGTATATTTTAATAGGCTCTCAGCACGGATTCTAATCATCCCCCGTATTTGTATACCCTGGTGTCTCCAAAGGGCTATGCACCCATCATTCTGGAGTCTTCCCAGCCTTCCTTGGAAGCTGGCTTGCAATCACTCAGGCGGTTTTATTGTCTAGGCCAAGGAAAGGCCCCAGGAGCAGTAAGGGCCTCTGGGCTTCTGTCTTCCTCCAGTACGGCTCCCTACCCCACAGGTCCTAGCCTCCCCAACAGGGCCCCTAAAGGTTCCCAGGGAAGGCACTGAAGGTCAGATTGCTACAGCGAAGGGACCCTCAGATGGTGATTCTCAGGGTCACAGGACTGAGAGTTAGACGGATTGTAGAGCTCACCTGATGCAGCTTCTTCATTTTGCATGAGAAGGAAACTCAGGACCTGGATTCAAATCTCCGCTCCCATGTTTATTATTCCTACCACTCATAACTCACCATTCTATGGTGCTTTGTGCTTTTACAAAAACCCTTTCTATTTAGTTTCTTATTTGAAATAGAGGATCTCAGCTTGGTCATTTGGTGTCTATGTGCTAAGCTGTCTTCCAGCCCTGACATTCTGTATTCTAAATCCAATCCCCAAACCATTTATTAAGAACCTGCTATGTGCCAGGCACTGGGGATACAAGTAGTAAAAAGAAAGACAGTTCCTGCCCTCAAAGAACTTGTAATCTAAGGGGGAGGGAGGAGATGACACAAAAGGAGACAGGAAAGCAAATGCGGGGAGGGGAGCACCTCCCAACTCTGACATGCTGATTCTTGGCCCACTCTCCTAAGCCTGGCTCTGCTGGCAAGCTGGGCCCCTAGAGTGAGGCTGCTACTCCCCCTTAAGGTGCTAGGGTTCTTCTAATGCCTTATATCCTGTATCTCCCCCTCCCCATATCATCTCAGTATCTTCTAATCGCTGACCAGTCCCTCGGCATCAATCAACACTGATATCTCTTTGAAATCACTGGTAACCAATGAACATCAATTATCTTTAACAAAGGGATATTTATTGGAAAAGTACTGGAAGAACCAAAGCACACACACACACACATGCACACACACACACACATGCACACACACACACACACACACACACACACACACACACACACACACCCTCCTGAACCGGGGCACACTTTCCCCTCTACATCTTGATGCCTGGGAAGAGGGGGCCCAAAGTTGGCTGCCTCCTCGCCCAGCTGAGGCACACTTTCCTCACCCCCATCAGATCCTAAGGACTGCGAGGTGCAACAAGTGTTCCTGAATGCACTTCTGGTTGCAGAGTGCCCTATGGATGAGTTGTTCTCTTGCATGCAACTGGTCAGCTGCTGGACTGACCCACTCTTAGTATGGGTCAAGCAGTTCACCCCTCAGAGCTTTGGTGGCTCCCTGGGAAGGTCTACTGGGGCCATGGGCAACTTTGCTAGGGATTCCTATTACTCGACCTCTGGTAGTTCTTCCAACTTTCTGAAACTCACAAGGCGGTGCCAACTCTGGTGATTTATGTAGGATCAAGGAAAAATAAATAGGAAAAAAAGAAGGAAGGAAAAAGCATTTAGGAAGCACCTACTGGTGCCTAATGGAGGCAGCTAGGTGGCTTAATGGTTAGAATGCTGAACCTGGAGTTAGGAAGACCCGAGTTCAAATCTGACCTCAGATACTTATTAGCTATGTGACCCTGAGCAAGTCACTTAACCTCTGTTTGCCTTAATCCATTGGAGGAGGAAATGGCAAATGGCTCCAGTATCTTTGCCAAGAAAACTCCATGGACAGCAATGGCATGTTATGCCCATGGGATCACAAAAGATTTGGACACATCTGAACAAAAACAACAAAGCGCCTACTATGTGCTGAGTACCTCGCTATGCACTTTACAAATATCTCATTTGATCCTCACAACAACCTTTCCAGGTAGGTGCTCTTATCCCCATTTTATAGCTGAAGAAACCTAGATAGAGGTTAAGTAAATAAGAGATGAACTTTTACCAAAGGTTACACATTAAGTGTCTCAGACTGGATTTGAACTTGGGTCTTCCGGAGTCCAGCCCCAGTGCTCTATTCACTGTGCCACCTAGACGTCTCCAGCTACGTAGAGGATAGAAGAAGCACAAATTCTGTGTCTTCAGGGCCGTATGGTGACCAGAGGCTTGCAGCATTTTTTTTTTCTTGATTGAAAGCCGTAAGGAAGAGAGAAAAGTTCCCTTTGTTTACGTTCACATGGCCCAACCTGTGGTAGAACATTCTGAGCTTGTGCCGGGTCTGATCAGCCACCGTCAGACGGATGCATTGTGACTTATTCTAACACAGTGATGTCATTTTGGTTCTCTTTGATGAGGAAGGGCAGCAGCCAACCCGATGCCTTCTTCTGACTCAGCATCCCATTCCGTCCCCAAGCACTAAGCTGGCAGGA